TGATATATTTTATATGATAATCAAGGTATTATAGACTGACAATATGGAGTGACAACACAGCAGTTCATTGTTCATTAAACTATTGTTGTAGCATCTGTTGCCAACTGAAGTCTTGATATATTTTATATGATATTCAAGTTACTATAGACTGACAATATGGAGTGACAACACAGCAGTTCATTGTTCCTTAAACTATTGTTGTAACACCTGTTGCCAACTGAAGTCTTGAGATATTTTAAATAATATTCAAGTTACTGTAGACTGACTATATGGAGAGACAACACACCAGTTCATTGTTCCTTAAACTATTGTTGTAACACCTGTTGCCAACTGAAGTCTTGAGATATTTTAAATAATATTCAAGTTACTGTAGACTGACTATATGGAGAGACAACACACCAGTTCACTGTTCATTAAACTACTGTTGCAATATCTGTTGCCAGATGAAGTCTTGATATATTTTATATGATATTCAAGTTACTGTAGACTGACTATATGGAGAGACAACACAGCAGTTCATTGTTCATTAAACTACTGTTGCAATATCTGTTGCCAGATGAAGTCTTGATATATTTTATATAATATTCAAGTTACTGTAGACTGACTATATGGAGAAACAACACAGCAGTTCATTGTTCATTAAACTACTGTTGCCAACTGAAGTCTTGATATATTTTATATGATATTCAAGTTACTATAGACTGACTATATGGACAGACAACACATCAATTCATTGTTCATTAAACTACTGTCGTAAAATCTGTTGCCAACTGAAGTCTTGATATATTTTATATGATATTCAAGTTACTGTAGACTGACTATATGGAGAGACAACACAGCAGTTCATTGTTCATTAAACTATTGTTGTAACATCTGTTGCCAACTGAAATCTTGATATATCTTATATGATATTCAAGTTACTATAGACTGACTATATGAAGTGACAACATATCAGTTCATTGTTCATATATTAAACTACTATTGCATCATTTGTTGATGAGTGACGTCCATTAAATATCATAAAATCATTACAAGAAGTTTTAAGCTTTTAGAAACAAATGCAATTTGTTTTACACGAATTCTGTGTTTGTGTTATAATTCTAACCACACGTGCCTGTGTCTTGTCTTCTCGTTGGAGGGTCACACGAATCCTTTGCTTGTGGTATCGTCCTAGCTACACATGACTTGTCTTCTCGGTTTCGTTGACTGTCTTTGTTGAAACAGGCAGACAACAGTTACAAGTACTATGAGCTATCTTTTTAGCAAAAGGAGTGTTGGAATTAAACACAAAGTAGATGTATGGATTCAAAGCACTGTTACTAGCTGAGAAAATTCCAAAAAAAGCTACAACATTCTGGTTCAGAAGAGAAGGGTTTCCAAAGGCAATGATGATTTCTTGAACTAAATAAGGTGTGCTCGCGGTTAAGAATGTTGAAACAATAGCCAAGGTCATTTTTAACGTCTTTATTTTCGCCCTTGAAATCTGTGAGTTTGACGTGTCTAGGCTTTGACGTTTCGTTCTTTTCCCCTTCCGTGTAGGATCTATAAAATGTTCTTTTCTGGATCGAAACCGGTCCAGACTTCCAGATCTTGTCCACATTGTGTATATAATCCTGGAATACAGGATTATGATGATCAGGATAGGAAGGATAAAAACTGCTAGAAGAATCAGAGCCATGTATACTTGTCTGTGAAAGAGGGAGAGAGAGGACGTATAAAACTTAGCAACGCAGTACGCTCTGCCATCAGACAAGGTGACAGTCTGGAAAACGTAGGCATTAGGTAAGGATGGCAATAAAGATAACACCCACGCGCTGGTAATCAAAGCTTTTGTGCGAGCGTTGCGAAACAACGGATATACTATGGCGGTGTGACGATCCAACGCAATAGCTAACAGCATGTAGTTCGAAGAAACCATAGTGAAGGTTTGACAGACCTTAAAGGTCCGGCAGAAAACATCACCAGCAATCCATTCTCGGTCCATGAACTCCCACACCAGTTGAGAACACATGGTGACCAGAGTGACCAGAATATCGGCAACAGCAAGGTTCAGAAACAGCACGTGGATGGCGCTCCTGTGGTGCCACTTCTGTTTGATGTGCAGACACATAGTTAAGTTACCCAGTAAGGAAAATACGATCATGGTCACGAGAGTATAGACTCTCACCTGATGATGATACTTCGGACCGAGAACTGTCGGTTTCTGGCCACAGTCCTCCTGGGTGATGTTCATGCTACATCTAGTGCCGTTCAGCTCCATTCTGTCTTAAAAACTCTTTCAACCCCTGCGCTTCGTTTCTGAAACAAAAAAGGAATTAGCTTGAAATTATCTTACGTCGATCTTTATTTTGATAGAAGTTCTTTTATTTACAAAAAAAAATGCCCCCCAGTGGCACAGCGGTATCTTTGCGGGCTTACAACGCTAGAATCCGGGTTTCGATACCCGTGGTGGGCAGAGCACAGATAGCCCATTGTGTAGCTTTGTGTTTAATTACAAACAACCAAATTTAAAAAA